AGTGCACGACTCCAGTTGTTGTGCCCACAGGTTCATCGGAACACGCAAGCTCCCTCACCACGACAAGGTGACAGTCCATCGACTGAATATTGTATTCAGCACTTTCAAAGCCTTCAAGGGAAATTTTATTGGAACATTTGTAATAATGTAAACCTAGTAACCCTGGGAAAATCACACATGCCCACCCTCAGAGGAAGGCAATGGCAAATGTCTTCTGAATAAATCATGCCAAGAAAGCCCCATGATAGGTTCACCTTAGGGTCACCAGAAGTCAGAAATGGCTAGCAGGCACACAAGAAGAAATAATAGCACATTTCTGACTACTTATGGTGATAATGGGGGGGGGGGGTGGCAACATTTGTTTGGGGACAGTGATTGGGTTGCCCTTCTCTGAGGCTAAGAGAACTGGCTTGCCCAAGGTCACTCTGTGTGCTTTCATAGTGAAACAGGAATTTGAAACCCGGTCTTCAAAGTTGTAGTCCAATGCTCAAATCACTAGACCTCCAGAATGGCACATATTCCCTTTATATTTAACAAAAATTACTACACCTGAAATAATACCTTTTAAAGGACATATCTAAAGGTAATTGTGTCTTATACGTTTCACTTTATTTTATGAAGTCTAACTGGATCAGGCTTTAAGCTTACTAGCGGTACTATTTAACAGGGTGATTTCAACTTGATTCAGTAGAACTAGATGAACATTCTAATTCCCCAAAGGAGGGATATGAACATGTGGGCACAGGCATACACTCTCTGACCTGGTGACTTATACGTAAGATGGACTTAAAGGAAGGTACTTTTTTAGAAATAGCAGTGTGTTTGTTAGTCTTTTCCTCTGGGCAACAGCCAATACCATGTCTCCAAGGAATAATAATAGAGGTTCATATCATACATTCAGCCCATCTAATTTGATTGACTGTTGTAGGACAGCCAAGACAACTATAGATAACTCTCTCTCTATATATATATATATATATACAGAGAGAGAGAGAGAGAGAGAGAGAGAGATGTGGAAAATTTCCCTTGGAAAAAGATATTAGATATTATCATTTCACATTTGTTACAATTCCCAGAATCCCAGTGCCATGTTAATTGAAATTCTGAGATTTAGTCCAAAAAAGTAACTTTTCTATTCCAATCCTTCTAGCAGTAAAAACAAAATACTACATCGAGAGGAAATGCTTTTATGCCACACTGTTTGTGCCACTCTCTCTGAAACTGTGAAGCTTAAATCAGCATTTAAGCAGAAAGAAAACAAAACAGCTAATATGCAAATACCAGAGTTGTTTTTTGACAGCAAAATGAAAACACCAACAGCAATAGAATGTTGTCAGCTTTCTTGCCAGTAGAAGCAAACCACAGGACCAATGACTATATAAGAGTTTAAGAAATCTGTGACATGAGACAGCCGGTGTGGTCGTTCTGATCTGCAAGAAAAGGTCTAACTGATCTGCAAGACAGCCAGTGTGGTTGTAATGATCTGAAGTGTGGTCCTATTGATCTGCAAGAAAAACCTATGACATGGTGACACTAAGGCAGAAATGACCTGAAAGCCAACAACAAGAAATGCTCAGTCTTTGGTTTTGGTTTTGAAAGCGAAAAAACATGTCACATTTCCATTAAAACGACGAGAAATGGAGAAAGACAGACAGATGGGGTGAGAGAAGAAAAACTTCTATTCGGGTTAAAAGGAACAACAATCACTACAAAAAAAAAATTTAAAAAGAAAACCCTATCTACTTTCCATAGCTTTGAAATATGATTAACCGTATGCAACAACCAGCAATCAAAAAGGGTGTACTGGAAAGACAGTTTGTGTCCAAAAAAAACAGAAGCAAAAGCAAAGAGAAACCAAGAACGGTGACTACCATTCCCAGACAGCACTGCGTAAGGTCTGTGCACATGCCAAATATGCCAGGAGGATTTAGCTGCCCTGATGATGTCAAGTCCCTGTTCAACCAATCCCAAAGCTCAGGAGGAATGTCAACAAACAAGGAGGCCTGAAGGCCACGTGACAACAGACTGGGCAAAGATAAGGGGGGGGGGGGGGGGGGGAGGAGAGAGAAACACACCAGGTAGACTGGCTGAAGCTCCTGCAGTGGAAGACTGAAGCAATTAAAAAGGCTGTTAATCCAAACAAAGAGGTCTCTAGGGTAGAAACTGGCACAGTAATGTAGTTCACAACAGGATTCAGTTCTTGGCTCACAGGAGAGGATTTATCTTGCTCTGTCACCAACCTAGCAATGGCAGTAACAAGTAAAATATATAGAAAGCCTATCGTGAAAAGCAAACCAAGCTTTCAAAAAAGAAGTGATCATTTATTTATTTCACAAGGATAATTTTCAGGTGCTCCAATTATTATTTTTATTTATTTATTTCTATCCTGCTTTTCTCCTGAGTTGGACCTCAAAGCAGCAAACATGGGAAAAATAGAAAACCATAATATATAATAAAATGAACAGCACCATCATAATTATATCTAATAAAAGGAAAAAAGATATAAAAACCCAGGTAAAGGTTTCCCTTTGACATTAAGTCTAGTTGTGTCCGGCCCTGGAGGGTGGTGCTCATCTCCATTTCTAAGCAGAAGAGCTGGCATTGTCTGTAGACCGCTGACCTTTTGGGCAGCAGGTTCAGCAGCTCAGTTTAACCCGCTGCACATCAGCAATCAACACCAACCCAACATCAAGTTAATTGACAAGTACCACAAACATAGTTAAACAATAATAGATTAAAACTCCATCATTTTGCAGAATACAAAGAAGTTATTTCTCTATGGGGGAAACTCTAGCAAGAACGGAAGTTAGGGGCACCATAAAAACTAACAAATTGTATTTGGTATAAACTTTTGTGGGGGGTAGACCTATTCCTCAGATTCCGCCCCCCTCCACAAAGCACAAAAAACAACAGCAAAAACGCCCTCTGAAACATGTAACACAAACCAACCCAAATGTATTAGATCAGAAACAGACAAAAATGATGTCAAACAGATCAAAGGACTACTATGTACTAATAATCCCCTCTTTTTATTTATATATATATATATGTGTGTATGTGTGTTTGTGTGTGTGTAATAATGTTACAAAAGAAACCCTGATGATTCAGTATCAAAACATGGTTGCAGGGAAAGGTGAAAAGAAAACAAAGAAGAGCCTTGAAGACCAAAGCCTGTTTCAGTCCTGCATTCTGTTTCCATAGCTGCCATACAGTTGTCCATGGGAAATTACAAGCAGAACATGAGCCATAAGACTGTAAAATCAGTGCTTTTCAGGCTGATATGGGGAACCAGTAGTTCTTACAGATGAAACCAGGTACTGAAACCCTGCCTAGCTTCCAAGATCAGAAAGGATTTGGTATCTTTAGGAGTATTTAGGCTCTAAACCACTTTATGCAGTGCCAGTGTAAAATACAGTAAGATACTGCATTCAATTTCAATAGCACATAATGCAATGGTTGAGTATTTTTTGGCCAACCAAACCAAGTGGACGGTTGGAGCCAACGACAAGGAACAATGGAAGCTGCAGTCCGCAAACACCTGGAAGGCTACATGTTGTTATTTTATCTATTTCCTGATTTTTTTGCAGAGAAAATTCAAATCAGCTTACAAAATTTAAAAAGGTACAGATAGCATAGCATTAGAACATACAAAAGTTAAAATATAGTAGCAATAAAAACAGAATGTATCAGTGATTTTAAAATATATACCCCCTTAAAATAAACACAAACGAGTATGTGTGTCAAACTCAATGACAGTGTGCAAAATCCAGCCTACCATGTCATTTTATGCAGCCCTCCAGATGCTGGACTCCAACTTATGTATTCCTCATCATTAGACATTATGACTATAGCTGATGGGAGTTGGGCTACAGTAACCTCTGGAAGGCTGCAATTTGTTCAGTTTAGTCAGGAGAGTGGGGTTTGCAATTTCGGGACAAGGTTTGTGGGTATGATGTCTAATTTTAAAATGTCCTTTAACCTTTTCCCAACCTCAGAGCCACAAGGGCTGTTGGACTGCAATTCCCATGATCCCTAGTCTGTATGACAGATAATCAAAAGAGATGGGAATTTCATTCAATAACATCTGAGGACCCATACTGGGTAAAAACCAGAATACAGACCACTATGTAATTATTGTTGGCCCTCTGTCTCCATGGATTCTCTGTCCATGGACTCAGGCACCCTTTGATGGCATCCATAAGGCTGATGTAGCCCTCAATGAAAATGGGTTTGACATCCCTGTGATATAGCATATTACTAAAAGCTAGTCACCAAGGAACACTTAGTTTCCAATCACCTGTTGAACAATGAAGTATCTGCCTGTAGTCCAACACTCAAATCACCAGCCTTTTCAATTGTGCCCAGAAACAGACTGGGAGTCACTGGAGCTGTTTTCACAAGGGAGTTATATGTTTCTTACGATAAGCCTTAGTCAGTACTATAGCTGTGTATCTTGGAATCGGAATGCTTTACACAGTAATCCAACAGAGGCAACTAACAGATATGTTCACTGTAGCCAAGTCCAACATTGCTTTAACTGCAGTCACTTCTGGCCACCACTCAGACAGGCAGTTCCAGGCTCAGAGCTGAATCCAGGAGCAGAAAAAAAGCTGCAAACATGTGTCTACAGGAGGAGTGGAACCCTCATCTAACATAGGCTGAATCCCCATTTCCTGATCTGCCTTTTGACTGGCCAGAAGCACCTGGCTTGTCTGGGTTAAATTTCAGTGTGTTCACCCCTCTACCAATACCGATGACAGAAACTGGTTTGGAACAAGGACAGCTTCTCTGGAGAAAGGTGAAAACAAGTAATACAATTAGTTGCTACTTATCTGTGATGTAAAAAAGAACTACCAATATTCTATTGCCTTAATTTTATGTAAAACATCTGCCTTCCATCTCTAGATGTATGGATTTCCAGATGAGTTCTCTTAGCACTTTTAGGACCATCTCTGAAATAACACCCCACTCCATCTTTCAGAGTAGTTGTAAAATTGTACCTGGAAGTCATACAAGGCGACTATGTTCTCATGTTTCAGCTCCTAGAAGACAAAGAGATGTATTCATGAAGCCACAAACGAATAATTATCATGAATTTAAATTGCTGAAAGTTCAAACAAAATGAAAATACATTATGATGGCCTTGTTTTTACCTTGAGTATCTTGATTTCTTTTCCCAAAAGAGTCTGTGACTTTGCCAGGTTCTTCTTGTTAATGCATTTAATTGCTACCTCCATTTCAGGCTTCTGCAAGTTCAAATGTAAAAACACAGAATTTAGAAACACATGAAATCATCCATTTTATCTCACATATCCTACTGTCCACTCTCTCAATAGTGTCACCACAAAATAGTAAGAAATGCTATTCTGGTGTCCCAACATACCCAGCACATGTTGAGACTTGTCCTTGAATGAATCAGTCTTTTCAGCAGAGAAAGTCAAGATTTTCTCCATTCAAACTTTTATGCTGCAGTTATCCTATTATTTGAGTATGTACTAATTTGTTGGGCTCCAACAGTTCCTGCAAAGGCCAAATGTACTTCTGTGTAGATGTATGTGACTGCAAGTTTCCTGATGACCTTTGGAGGCCCCCATTAGCGTCTTAAAGAATATTCCGAGATGGTTTTGTCCCTTCCTCCTTCAGAAACACAGGTTACAACATCTGGGGTTCGTTGGTCTCTCTCATCTGAGTACGAACCAGGGCTGATCCTGCTTAGCTTCCAAATCAAGACAGAATCCGGTGCCGTTAGTGTACTTAAGCTTTGCTAAGTACAGGAGAGTCTTGCTTATCCAACATAAACGGGTCAGCAGAACGTTGGAGAAGCGAAAATGTTGGATAATAAGAAGGGATTAAGTAAAAGCCTATTAAGCGTCAAATTATGTTATGATTTTACAAATTAAGCACCAAAACATCATGTTTTACAACAAATCAAAAGAAAAAGCAGTTCAACACACAGTAACATTATGTAGTAAGTACTGTATTTACGAATTTAGCACCAAAACATCGCAATGTATTAAAACAGCTGTGGATCCGGGTGAGAGGGAGACTGCGTGGGATAATACAGAATGCTGGATGACAAAGACTCTATACTGTACAAAGAGACTAAACTTCCAGCCTCTAGGAACCTGCTCAGATTCTATTCTTGGGGGGGGGGGGGAGTTGACAAAAACAGAATGTACTGTCACCTGTGTCAAAGAGGCCACCATACAAGCAGTGTAATATGTATCATTGATAGGCACTGCAATGTGTTTTGCTCTGCTATGGCCACTTCTAGACAGAAAAGTGCTGCCAAACCGTAAGCCAAGGCCTGTTTTCCTAGGCCTATCCATAATCCTCACTTCTTTCTCCATGCTATAGCAAACTTAAAGCAAACTTACCCCCACAAAAGTTCTTGCACTGTACAATAGAGATGCACACAGATATGCCAGATTTTCTTAAATGTACATCCTCTTCAAGTGAGCCAAATGCTGGGCCAACATCCTATACACACCAACCTGGATGTAAGGTTCCCTGAAGTCAATGGGGCTTACTTCTCAGGAGATAAACACCTAGAATCACGAGCCTGAATATGTATCTTTTATAGAAATACATTTTAATGCATATATTTGTAGAATTTTTACAATTTTATGTGTTTTAATTATGCAATAACCCAACTTGAGCCACAAGGAGAGGCGGGTAAGAAATAAATTTATTACTATTATTATTCTGGGTAACTGGTTTAGATGATGGCTCCATTCTGATCCTACTCAACCAGCAGAACGACCCTGGCTTTTCCCTAAAAGTAAAACCCACCTGAGTTGCAAAAGCCTTCCATATAAAGCACTGTCATGATGTTATGTATGTAAACAAGCACACTTTCAATGGAGTGGGCCAACTGAGAAGTCCAATACCCAAGACGAAAACAATTCGTTTAAAGCCCCTTTCAAACTGCTGTATAAAATCCACATTGACCTAGATGGCAGTGTGGACTCAGATAATCCAGTTCAAAGCAGATATTGTGGTAGATCTGCCTTGATATTCTGGGTTATATGGCTGTGTGGAAGGGCCTTTAGAGACATATAAGCACACCAGACTGCTTACAGGGGCGGGATGTAGGGAACATACAACCTCTCCTCTTAAAGCAGCTCCACAAGATGCCGATTTGCTTCCAGGCCCAATTCAAAGTGCAGATTATTACCTACAAAGCCCATACTGCATGGGCTCTGCCTATTTACATGACCACATCTCTCCTCATGAACCAGTTTGGGCCTTAAGATTAGCTGGGGAGGCCCTCCTCTTGATCCCACCATCCTCACAAGCAAGGTTGCTGGGGACGAAGGAGAGGGCCTTCTTGGTAGTGGCTTCCGGACTCTGGAATGCCCTCCCCAAGGAAATTATCACCCACTCTTTTAACATTCAGGAAGGAGTTGAAAACCTGGCTATTTCAGCAAGCTTTTGATAATGGCTAGGGTATTACCTTACTTTCGACAGGACTTGAATGACCATTAGAACGTTAATCATAATGCTAGATATAATAATAATAAGTTTATTCTTATATCCCGTCACCATCTCCCCGAAGGGACTCAGGGTGGCTTACAGACGGCACAAAGTGCCTAAAAACAAAAAAGTGAACACAATACAAATTACAATAAAATAAAGCACATGCACATATAAAAACATCTTGATATCTTGATAACAGGAACTGACTGGTTTAAACACTGTTTATATTGTTTTTAGAGAGCTTTTAAAATGTTACTATTAATGTTTCTATTATTGCATCATTTTAATTGTATGAAGGGAAATTGTTTACTGTCTATTGTTTATATTATTTTCTGTATCTGCTGTTGTAAGCCGCCCCGAGTCCCTTTGGGGAGTGGGGGCAGGGTACAAATAATAATAATAATAATAATAATAATAATTTAATTATTATTTCCAAATGCAGAACACCACGTCTATGTTATCTCTAGGTCCTGCTTAGCCCAACTACAGAGTCCCAAAATGCCCTAAGAATCAAGCCAGATGGCAAGAAAGATCTGGGAGAAAGTCACCTCTTTGTGCCTCCCTTTGAAGACGACAGCAAAGGCTCCATGGCCGATCAAGTCTTTCCTGCTGAACTCAAATTTCCCAACCGTTTCCATGTCGAGAAAAACAAACCAAAATCAAACGCCAATCGATGGATGGGGGAGGGGAGGCGGAGGCAGAAGCCCAAGGCCTCCAAAAGTCTCCCTTCAGAAAAAAGATGAAGAGCTACAGGGCAACAAGACAAGCAAACAGGTGTTCGAAAAGCCCAGGGCGAGCAGGAAGGCTTCTCTCGGGTGCAGCTCTCGGCAGCTAAAGCTCTGCTTGTCCGTCGCCGCCGGCGGTCTCGCTTTGGGAAAAGGCCGGGATGGAGTCATTGTGACGGGGCGCGAGGGCCGGGGCGCGCGAGGCTCGCCTACCGAACTTTCCTCATGATGCCGTCCTAGGCCAGGCGCTCCCTCCCTTTGCGAGGCCCGGGCCGCGTCGGAAACGTCTTCTCCGAAGGCCAAACAAACGCGGTTGAGGCGGCAAGGCTTCCGCGGCCCAGTCCACCTTAAAAGCAAACAGGAGGCCAAGGAAATCCACCTTAAGACGCTTTCCAAAACAAACACCTTCGCCGCCTTTTTTTGTCTCCTCCAAACGCACGCCTCAGAGAGAAGGCCGCGGTTGAAGGCTTCTGGGGGGAGAGGGGCTCGCGCACAACACAACTCCCACCGCAGCTGGCTGCCTTCGCTTCCTCTATGGCTCCCGCAACGCTTTTGGCTTTCTTTATGTAGTCCTCTCCGGCGCTGGAACGCGCAGGCGCGGCAGAAACTAGGGGGCGGGGCGCTTACAAGCCCCGCCCCTTGCCCCGTCCCCGCCCCCAAAGGCCAGCCTGCAAGCAGTGGAAGCCGGTTAGATCTAATCACCTTTCAAGAAGAGTTTGCTCCAGGCACAGTCAGCCCATTGTATGCTAATCAAGGTGGTCAGTTGAAAGATTCACACCTAGCCCAACTTACAAAAGCCCTTTGTCTCACCCTGGTCATTCCACAGATATATAAACCCCCTTTTTCCCAGTTCCAGCAGACCTCACCTCTGAGGATGCTTGCCATAGATGCAGGCGAAACATCAGGAGAAATGCCTCTAGAACATGGCCATACAGCCCAAAAAAACCCACAAGAACTGAGTGATTCCAGCCATGAAAGCCTTCGACAATACAAAGAGGTTTTGCTTTGCCTTTTTGCTTTTTTTAAAAGTTTTCAAAGTTTTACTTTTAGATGTTGAACATTTTTTGTTGGTGTTCATTCGTTCAGTCGTTTCCGACTCTTCGTGACCTCATGGCCCAGCCCACGCCAGAGCTCCCTGTCAGCCGTCACCACCCCCAGCTCCTTCAAGGTCAAGCCAGTCGCTTTAAGGATGCCAGCCATCCATCCATCATGGTCAGCCCCTCTTCCTTTTTCCTTCCATTTTCCCCAGCATCATTGTCTTCTCTAAGCTTTCCTTTCTTCTCATGATGTGGCCAAAATACTTCATCTTGGCCTCTACTATTCTTCCCTCCAATGAGCAGTCAAGCTTTATTTCTTGAAGTATGGACTGGTTGGATGTTCTCACTGTCCAAGGCACTCTCCGAATTTTCCTCCAGCACCACAGTTCAAAAGCACCTATCTCCCTTCGCTCAGTGACTATGGGGAATACCATTGCTTTAAGTATGCGGATCTTCGTTGCCAGTGTGATGTCTCTACTCTTAATGTTGAACATTTTTCTAAAAATTTTAAATAATTCTTATTAAGGTTTTTTAATATATACATAAAAGATGGGGAAGGAATAAAGATAGAGGAATAAGGGGTTGGAGAAATATTATGGGTAGGTATGGAAATGTGGGGGGAGGGTAGAAAGTAATATCAATAATAAGGGGGGGGGAGCAAAGAAAAGAGAAGAAAAAGAAAAGAAAAAAGGGGAGGGGGGAAGAGAGAGACAGGCGTGGGAAAAACTTAGATCCGGATCTGGGGCTGGGAAAAAAGAGGGTAAAATGGGGAGGGTGGATTGGCTTCCCAATCTTCTTTTCAACGTCTTCATCTTTTTCTTCTTTTTGTTTTCTTCTTTATTTATTTGCGGCTCATCTTCTTACCAACATTTCCTTCAATTTAATTTATTAAGATAATTTTTTTGTTTTGTTTTGTCCTTTCAATGTTTCAATAAAACATTGGCTTATCAATATTCTCAACATTTTCAACAGCAGACTACTCACACGGGTAGCATGTTAACTATCTCAGTGGAACCCCCAGTGGTGCAGTGGGTAAACCCTTATGCCAGTAGGACAGATGGACTGATCGGTTGGCGGTTCGAATCCAAGGACCAGCGTAAGCCTCTGGACAACATCCTTGCAGGCAGCTAATTCTCTCACACCAGAAGCAACTTGCAGTTTCTTACACACATAAAACTATTTCACCATCGTCCTCCTCAAGGCCGCCCCATCACCAAGAGGCCCAGGTAGGTCTTGCCATCGCCCTCCTCAAGGCCGGGCCAACAGCAACAGGACAAGGAGGGCCTCACCATCGCCCTCCTCAAGACCACCACAGCACCAACAGGTCCAGGTAGGTCTCGCCATCGCCCTCCTCAAGGCCGGCCTGGCACCAACAGGACAAGGAGGGCCTCACCATCGGCCTCCACAAGGCCACCACAGCACCAACAGGCCCAGGTAGGTCTAGCCATCGCCTTCCTCAAGGCTGGCCCAGCAGCAACAGGACAAGGAGGGCCTCACCATTACCCTCCTCAAGGCAACCACAGCACCAACAGGCCCAGGTAGGTCTCGCCATCGCCCTCCTCAAGGCTGGCCCAGCAGCAACAGGACAAGGAGGGCCTTACCATCGCCCTCCTCAAGGCCACCACAGCACCAACAGGCCTAGTTAGGTCTCACCATCACCCTCTTCAAGGCAGGCCCGACAGCAACAGGACAAGGAGGGCCTTACCATCGCCCTCCTCAAGTCCACCACAGCACCAACAGGCCCATGTAGGTCTCGCCATCGCCCTCCTCAAGGCCAGCCCGGCGGAAACAGGACAAGGAGGACCTCACCATCACCCTCCTCAAGGCAACCACAGCACCAACAGGCCCAGGTAGGTCTCGCCATCGCCTTCCTCAAGGCTGGCCCGGCAGAAACAGGACAAGGAGGGCCTCATCATTGCTCTCCTCAAGGCCACCATAGCACCAACAGGCCCAGGTAGGTCTCGCCCTCGCCCTCCTCAAGGCTGGCCCGGCAGCAACAGGACAAGGAGGGCCTCACCATCGCCCTCCTCAAGGCCACCACAGCACCAACAGGCCAGGTAGGTCTAGCCATCGCCTTCCTCAAGGCCGGCCCGGCGGAAAAAGGACAAGGAGGACCTCACCATCACCCCCGTCAAGGCCACCACAGCACCAACAGGCCCAGGTAGGTCTCGCCATCAGCCTCCTCAAGGCCGGGCCGGCACCAACAGGACAAGGTGGGCCTCACCATCACAATCCTCAAGGCCACCACAGCACAAACAGGCCCAGGTAGGTCTCGCCATCGCCCTCCTCAAGGCCGGACTGGAACCAACAGGACAAGGAGGGCCTCACCATCGCCCTCCACAAGGCCACCACAGCACCAACAGGCCCAGGTAGGTCTAGCCATCGCCTTCCTCAAGGCCGGCCCGGCAGAAAAAGGACAAGGAGGGCCTCACCATCGCCCTCCTCACGGCCACCACAGCACCAACAGGCCCAGGTAGGTCTCGCCATCAACCTCCAGGCCGCCCCGGCACCAACAGGACAAGGAGGGCCTCACCATCGCTATCCTCAAGGCCACCACAGCACCAACGGGCCCAGGCAGATCTCACCATCGCCTTCCTCAATGCCGGCCCGGCAGCAACAGGACAAGGACGACCTCACCATCACCCTCCTCAAGGCCACCACAGCACCAGCAGGCCTAGGTATGTCTCGCCATTACCCTCCTCAAGGTCGGCCTGGCACCAACAGGACAAGGAGGGCCTCACCATCGCCCTCCTCAAGGCCGCCACAGCAACAGGACATGGAAGGCCTCACCATTGCCCTCCTCAAGGCCGCCACAGCACCAACTGCCCAGAAAGGCCTTGCCATCCTGCTCCTCAAGGCCTCCACGGCTCCACTGGATTTATTGTTGTTTGATGTTTGTTCGTTTTGGCAATGAAGGTTTGCCACTTTGTTCTTTTGTTTAGAAAAATTGATTTCCAGGGGGTAGGCCAAATAAGTTTGGGAACCACTGACTTAGATGGAAGGTTAGAAGGCATGATCATCAAGTTTGCAGATGACACCAAATTGGGAGGGAGAGCCAATACTCTAAAAGATGGGAGCAGAATTCAAAATGATCTGAATGGATTAGAGAGATGAATGGCCAAAACTAGCAAAATGAAGTTCAATAAGGACAAATGCAAGATACTCCACTTAGGCTGAAAAAAATGAAATGAAAAGATACAGAATGGGGGACGCCTGGCTCGACAGCAGTATGTCCTTGTTGACAGGAAGGTGAACATGAGCCAACAATGTGATGCAGCAGCTAAAAAAGCCAATTGGATTTTAACCTCCATAAATAGGAGTCTAATGTAGATCCAGGGAAGTCATGCTACCCTTCTATTCTGCCTTGGTCAGACCACACCTGGAATCACACTGTGTCCAATTCCGGGCACTGCAATTGAAGGGGGATGTTGACTCTAAGCTAGAATGTGTCCAGAGGAGGGCGACTCAAAGAATCAAGGGTCTGGAGAACAAGCCCGAGCAGCTTCAAGAGCTGGGCATGTATAGCCTGCAGAAGAGAAGGCTGAGAGAAGACATAATGAGGAGGGAGCAAGCTTGTTTTCTGCTGCCCTGGAGAGTAGGATGTGGAACAATGGCTTCAAACTACAGGAAATGAAGGAGATTCCACCTGAACATGAGGAAGAACTTCCTAACTGTAAGGAAGTTGGAAGAGACCTTGTGGGCCATCCAGTCCAACCCCATTCTGCCAAGAAGCAGGAAAATTGCATTCAAAGCACCCCAGCAGATGGCCATCCAGCATCTGTTTAAAAGCCTCCAAAGAAGGTGCCTCCGCCAAACTCCAAGGCAGAGAGTTCCACTGCTGAACAGCACCCGGTTTTTTTGGAGGATGGTCCAGAGATTCACTGCGATTCACTGTGTCGAATGCCATTGCAAGGTGAATGAATGCCATGTACAGAGGTTGATTTTGTTCCCTGCATTTTTCTTGGAGCTGTCGTGTAGTGAAGATCATGTCCATTGTTCCTTTGGAGGGGCGGAAGCCATTCTGAGATTCTGGGAGGGTGTTTTCTGAGAGGCGGTTTGCAAGATTCTTGCGCGGATTTTCCCAGCGGAGGTTAGAAAGGAGATACCTCGATAGTTTCTGCAGTCTGTTTTTTCCCCTTTTTTGAAGAGGGTGAAGATGGTGGCATCCTTGAAATCTACTGGGATTTTCTTGTTCACCCCCACTTTTTCTATGAGCTGGTGGAGTTGTTGTGTCAGCTCAGGTCCTCCCTCTTTAAAGATTTCTGCATGGATCCCATCAGATCTGCTGGCTTTGTTATTTTTTTGTTGACTGATGGCATTGCTGACTTCTTCCAAACTAGGCAGTGTTGCAAGCTCATCCCTGGTTTGTTGTTGTGGGATTTGTGAGAGAACCTCTTCGGCCACATTGGAGCTGTGATTCAGGCGGCTTTGGTAGTGTTCTTTCCAACGTTGTGCAATTGATTTTTTGTCCTTCAGAAGTTTGGTTCCATCTGATAAGCGTAGAGGCAATAACAGATAAAGAATAACACAAAAACAATAAATAAAATATCATAATATAAA